AAGCAGATACATTCTTCGAAGTTAGCTTGTGCAAGTGGTCAATATTTATCCCTTCACTTCCATTTTTGGTAGATACCCTTGAGAGTTTGGGATCTTTTCCACGCAAACTTCTCTGGCTCCCCACATTGCTTCTTACCCTTTCACCACTCTTTATAGAAGATAAAGCTGCTGCCCTTAGATCTGGGGGTACGGGAACTCCTGCACTCTGCAATCTTTGAACTTCATCTGCAATTTTCTTCTGTTCTTCCTCACTCTTCTGAAGCTCAATCCGCGGTGGCCCCGAAAGCGTCTCGATTACATATTGGTTAAACAACGATTCCTGAATTCGATCGAAGTATGTGCTCACATGGAAGGAAGATGCAAGCACCTTCAGCATCAGGGTCTTAGCTAGCCAAATCAATGTGCCTAACAAGAGACACACTAAACTTTTCCTCACATAATCGAGTATATCGCTGTTGGTTTGATTCTTAACTCGCTTATCAAACAACAAATGCCAAGCGATTAGAACAAGGCCTAACCATAGACAATTCTGCACTGGCCTCTTAACCCCATAAACGAAATATAGAACCTTCTTACGCAAAAGAAAATTCCTCTCAATGAAAAATACTCCAATTCCAATCCCCCAACCAGATACCAATCGCCCACAAATCAGTACCAAAACCATCACCTCCCATTTCCATATACTAAATTCCCATAAGCTATTTTCTCTCAAATGACGAATAGAAAGTGTGCAAACTAAAGCAGCAGTGATTAGAAACAAACTGATCCATTGAAGCACAGTTAGAGCATCGAGCTTACCCCTTCTGAAATCGTCTGGAAAATCCTCCTCCAGAAAAGGGTCGTCCTCCTCATCGTCAGTCCTGCCGAGAAACCCTGATCGGAGCTGTCCCGATTTATTAACGAGGCCGGAGAGCCGGTCTGGTTCTGCCGGCGGATCTGTCAATCTCGACTTGCCTTTAGCCTTCAGCAAATGAGATTTCCTATGCAACGAAAGAGTGCTCTGAAAAGACAAGTTAGACGCGCTTCTCATAGCTTCAGCAACAGAGTCGTTCTGAACACCAGAGATGGAAGATCCGCCATGTTCATGGTGCGATTGATGCCATGACGGCTGACCTCTTTTGCTCTCTTCTTGCATTTCACGGAACTCTTTATACCGCCGTCGAACCGATTCATTGCTCGATATTTCAGTCGAGTCATGTTGAAACGAAACTTTAAGATCCTTCGAAGCCCGACTCAACGGCGAGTCCATCATCGGAGTTTTAGTCCTATCAAGCCGCAACTCCTCCATTTCCAGATCCAAATCCAAAGTCGTTTCGCCTCTAACTTTCTGCTTATGAAGAAAATCACCAATCAGCTTCGTCGGCGGATCATCCGTACCATTCCCACGCCTCACAAATTCAAATCCCTCATTTCTATCACCACTATCACTCGCTCTCGCACCACTAGCCCAACTCGCACTTCCTCCAGTTCCAATTCCATCATTATTACTCCAGAAGTCATACCTAGATTCCCGCCAAACCTTCCCGCCATAGCCGGCAGACTCCTGCGATCTTGAGACAGCCGAAGAACCGCCATCATCAACCTTGAGAATGACCTCACTGTGTCCAGAAGGTTCGCCGTCGTTGGCTGGTCGACGAACCTTAGGGCGATTATGCTGATCAGAAGGTTGGTGATCGAGAAGAATGGGGAGCTCCTCCTGATTGATTTCGCTTCCAGCTCCGCCGGCAGAAATCTTCCTGGAATGCTTGAAAGGTCCATTGTGTTTGAGAGATTTCTTGAAGGAATCCATGGGTGATCGACGAGGAGGGAAAAGGGATTTGAAAAAGGAGTACAAATGGTGGGCGAGAGATTTGCATGGCGGATTTTAGTTTTTATTGTTGCTTCCAACTTCAAACAAACAAACAACAATATAATGCATACACCACAGACAAATAATTTCGTTATGTAACGTCTTAACTGCCCATGGTTTCCGTTTGGCTTATATATATATCTATATATATTCTAATTCAATATTTTTATAATTAAATTACAATAAAAAAATCCCAACCTTTCCCGTTTTATTTTTTCAAAAGTTATAATATTAATATTTCATAAATGTTTAAAAAACGGAGTAGAAATTTGTTGATTTATAGTGTTTGCCAAAATTGAACGTGAAAGAAAAATGTTCTACTGTGACAGACTTTGAATTTCTATTAAAATAATTTATTTGAAATGTTTGTGAAAAATCAAGTATGTAGCGTTCGTGATCAGCCCACTCAATTGTAAGCAACACGACACAACCCACGATTAAGGAGTGGTTACTTCTAGTATATCTCTCTTGCTCACGACCTGCTGTGGTGCCTTGAAGTGGGTAGTAATTCATAGAGTTTGTATCACTGCGAAACAACAACCGCATCTAAATTTGATCTATCGACTCAACAATTCATTTGTAAAAAAAATTCAACAAATCTTGTATGTATTATTTTTTATTATGATTGAAAATATTTGCTAAAACCGATGTTTCTTAAATTTGATTAAAAATTTATTAATTTTTAATCTAAAATGCATTATTTTCTATTATGATAACCTTCCCAACGTTTTTTTTTTATTGAGTTTTAAAGATGTCCTCAAAATAGGTATATTGAATAAGTTATAATTATCTCTAAATTTCAAATTTTCTTTATTTATTTGTGTGCAAAATTCTAATGTGTTCTAAGTTTATTTATTCTCATAAACCTTCATTTAATACACTTTAATTCTAATGCGAAATTCTAAATTTATTTATTTGATAACTCATAAAAAATTTATTTATTTGATAACTCATAAACCTTGGTTTAATACACAAAATTCTAAAAAGATTCAAGTTTGATTATGAATTTGTTATTTTTATTTTTCATCTTCCAAGTTCTAAATAAACCCAAATTTTGAACAAGTATATACCGTCAAAATGCCATACAACGTAAACTAAGATCCGTGATACAAAAACAAAAATCAACCAACTTGCATGCCTCTCCCAATATTGAGGATGAGAACCCATGATTTGATCCGCTAGCTTAAATGCCTATATCATGTCAAGAAGAGAAGGGGAAGAAAAGACTATCAACCGACTTAAATGCAACTTGCAGGAGATGTCCGCTCCTCACTCAAAAGAATGGCTCATTAGCTAGCCAGACTAATGGGTCATAGGAGCAAATGTGCGACCAATTTTTTAGTCAAGTGAAGGAGTGTTTTTCTCGAATGAAAATATCAATCTATCTTTAGGGTGGGTTTTTTTATAATATGGCTTTCAAATTTAGTTCCGAACGAGAGGATGATATTCATACATGTAAAGGTATTGCCTAAGTACAAAACTTCCAGAAAAAGACCTTGCGGAGAAAAATAAAAAGCTGTATAAAAGTGTTTCTAAAAATTCTTATTATAAAAGCTGCGAATCATCACAACTATCAAAAGTTTAATGGAAGAAATGAGAAAGAAAAAAAAAAAAAAAAAAAAAAAAAAAAAAAAAAAAAAA